CTGGGCTGCAAGCTCTCCACTCAAAGCAGACTTTTCAGCGCAGGATCTGATCTGAAGCGCAGGATCTGACTGATGCGCAACACGCCGCATTGATCCAGAACTCAGGTTTTGGCCATCGCGGCTTCAACCCATCGCTTCCCCAGAACTTAGGCGGCCGCTGGCACCCACTCGTCCCAGAAGTAGTGCCGGTGCGACGGGCCTAGTCCGGTCCCATAGAAACAAGAGAGTCCATGAACATCCCGCCATGGGTATGTCTCAAAACGGGGATGTTGTGTCTTCGTGTGTGTGTGTGTGTGGGTTGACGTTGTAAGGAAACATCCCCCTTTACGGTTCGAAAGACTGAAATCCACACATGCCCTTGACACCGGGCCCGCTTCAAAGAGCACGAACAAGTAGCTGTTGCGGAATGACGTGTTTCAAATTTGCTATAGAAAGGCCAAAACTATGAAACATTGCGCAGAGACAGCCTTCGATAGCGTTTTGATCTCAGTCACATTCATTCTTCCCTAGTGGACGAATGCTTGAGAATCCGCTCCGCCTCGTTCTGTAGAACCCAAAAATCACTCACGGGCCTTGGCAGCTCCAGCTCAAGCTCTGCTGGATGGAGTCATCTACCTCATGGGTGTTTGCCGCTAAAACCAAGTTGGACACCGCCCAAAACAATACATCGAAGACCACAGCAGCAGCAGCAGCAGCAGCAGCAGCAGCAGCAGCAGCAGCAGCAGCAGCAGCAGCAGCAGGTTCCCATTTCGATTCCGGCAACACACTACTTACACCCCACACCCCACATGTAATCTGTACCAAACAATCCCTGTCACGTCCCTGCTGAGGCCACATTTACAAGAAGCTCGCCAAATCATATCAAAGCCGACATTATGGTTATCAGTTACAATGGCAGCGAAGGGAGCTCTAAAATATGATTTACAAGTATGAAATCACACTATGAGAATATAATGAACGTAAAAGCCAGAACAAAACTGTATGTTGCATAAACACATTGCTGAACAAGTACTGTGGCAGTGGAAAACACAGCATTCACATGGGGCAGTACCTCAAGCAGTTTGGCTCCTAACATCAGTCAACGTAGAGCTTCACACACGCAGGCGGCAGTCGTTGGATTGTGGAATTCTTCTCCCGGACAACCTACAGCTCCTGTGACCATGTTCCGTTAGCTTCAAACCAAAATATCGCATCTGCTTTTGCCCCAAAGAGATGGCTGTCTTCACTGCCTTCATGTTTGGCAGCAACTCATGCGGGAGCTTATAAGAACTTGAGCTGTCTGGTAACTTCAGTTTCGGTGTCTTTCTTCCCCGTGCCTGCCACATCCGCTGAGGCTGTGGGAACTCCAAAGGCCCGTACTTGGACCTAAGCTCGGACGTTCAGCTGAAGGCAGGGCAGGCCCTACCACGCTTTCCAAGGCTTGGACAGCCAAGGTGGAGAATCTGCAGTGGGGTCAGACTCCTTCTCAGTGCTTTCCTGGCCGAGGGAAATGCTAACATTGGCTGATCACTGGAAGTGTCAGTCGCATGCCACTGCGAGATGGAACAAATCCCGACTGGGCAGGCGTTGCAAAAGGACAAATATTGGATCTACTACAGTGCAAAGAGGACTGCCAGCAAGACAAAACCGAGTCAGCCACGCGTCAAAACAAGATTGGTGTTTGTGAACAACCGCACAGGCGGTGCTTGGCCAGGTTTCTCGGGACAGCTTCTCGGACCGTCACGAGAGCAGATGTGCTAGCTACACAAAGGCATGGAGTTTCTGCTAAATCATTCGACGGTGTGTACCTGCCACCAGTTTGAGTTGCAGAAGTTCCAAAATCTGAAGACTCCGGAGGAATGCCCGCCTTGAAGCACCTAGATGCATCGGAGGGCACCTAAGAGAGGCACGGATCGCTCCCCACCACAACAAAATGGGCGTTAGTTCAAGTCAACGACTCATTTGTGCCGAAAGAGCCTCTGCAAGCTCAATGTAGCCTTGCCTCAGATGATTGATGTTCAGGAAAGGCTGTCCAACTGGCCACGATCATAGGCGGCCTTTTGGAAAAATAGATGGCCCTGGTAAATGGAATAAACCCCATCTAAAAAAGGAGAACCCCTCTACTTTTTAAGCAAACCAACCAAAACAGGACACCTATGGCCACAACCAAAAACCTACCAACCGCGGCTACAGAGCGGTGAGCTCTCGGTTTTCCGAGTTCACGGCCAGCGAGAACTGCTGGATGACATCCAGGTCGCCGGCCACCGCCGCTCTGGCCTGATGATGCGTTTCACGAGTTGGGCAGCTTTGAAACTCAAAGCAACAACACCGGAGGTCCATGCCCAATTCAATCTGCCCAATGCAACATGTACATATGGCTTGAAAAATCAGGGGGAGGCAACAACACCAGAGGTCCAATGCAAAATGTACATATGGGCCAGATATATGCCAGTACCCTTAAGCAGGATTGAAAGTCAACACCAGAGGTTCATTCCCAATTCAATCTCGGGCCCAATGCAAAATGTGCATGTCTTACGTAGGCTTGGGCCCTGCCCTTGTTTGATACTGTGAACTTGGGCGGCTGCAATGCGGCCTTGGGACAGTGCTTTCTCTGGGTGGTTTCGGTGCACTGGCACCGCACCTTCAAGACAGTTTGCGACAGTTTGCGCGACTTACTCACCAAGTGTTTTGAGGGTACCCGCTTTTGGTTGGGTTTAAGGTAAACCAGAAGGAAAAACACTGCTTCTTCTTTTTTCTTTGGGGGGGGGGGGTCCCAAAGAAATATACACACCCAACACGGCCGCGGAGCAGACTTTGTTTGGGCGGCGCACACGTGCGAGCGCTCTGGCCGCAGTTTCACTCACGAGCGACAAGTGAGTGTTTTTGCTCGGGCGTCTTGGGTCTTGCCTTCGTTGCATAGGCGGGTCAGGCAACAAGCTTGACCAACATGAACAGCGGCGGCGAAAAGCGACAACATGAAACACAAAGATCCCTCAGCCTACACCAGAGCCTACGCCGGGCTATGCAATTGACGCGGGTTGCTTGACGAATCCCAGCCTCATCAACTGGGCTTAGGCACTTTGCAGACCAACATGCAATGAAGGAAACCGGACAGCCTACCGGCCAGAAAGACCTCAGCATGTCAGCCACCCGTTCGGTAACCTGCGCAACTGCATAGGCCTTCGGGTTACACCATACCAGCATCCCAAACTACAAGGCCCCTGCTTCCTCTATAGCAAACCTAGAGGAGATTCCATTTGCTTCATTGCAAAAAGACCTGAAGCCACCTCCAAGCATCAAACATGGGCTGCTGCTCCGTGGCTCCATACATCCTACGCTCAAGTACCACCATGCCGACAAAACCCACCACCGGCAGGGCCTTGTTGAGGTTCCGCAGCGAGGGCACCTGGCGAGCTCCCGAAGCATCGGGTAGTATCGTTTTGCTTTATTTTTGACGCATGATGAAAGTCCAAGCTGTTTTGATCAGGGTTGTGGGATCACTCGGGGTTAATCCTCGTGACACAAGGGAATCTCGCGCTTTGAATGGGGGGGGTAGTCTTTGGAAGCCCTTTCTGTTGTATCACGGAAGTGGTCATTTCGCACAGTGGTCTTGATGGAATGCCGCGGGTGAGAGTGACCTGGGATCTGGATCTGGAACAGGTGCACGCGAAACCATGGCGATGTGTGCAAAGTCAACGAGTGCAAAACTGAAGAAGTTCAAAGCACACAAAGACCATGGCGGGTCTGGATTGAGACCTGGGTTCCGGCATCGATAAGCCGATCAAAAGCGGGGCCTTGGTACCTACTGACCGTTGGGTCCAGCAAAATCGGAACCCAATTCGGTCAATTGCTTAAAATCAGGGTTCACTTTTCCATCCTTCTCTGCTTGTCCCACCTGCAAGCAGACTTGCAGTAGTGAAGCGTCGTTAGCCTACTCTCAATCGCCTGCGGTTCGTGAATTTGATGTTGTATACCCACACCCCGCTGGCCAAAATGTGCCCCGACCCGCGGGCATGCTCGTTTCTTGTGTACATGGAAGGACAAGACCTTCGTACGGGGAAGGGCCCCTGCATGGGGATAGATCTGTCCTTGCATGCTGCAAGCTGGTCAGGAAACTTAGAAAGGCAAGTCGCAAGGCCGATTGTCAGCAAGGCAACGAGCCAAAGTCAATACTCGTTTCAGCTATCCCAGGGAGCGTGCATTGCAGGTACGCGAACTGATGTCTGCCACTTAGGTCACTTGGTGTCACTTGTGGCCTCGGGTGGCACTTCTGACTCGATTTCTGGAACCCCCCAAAACGGGTAGCCTCGCACAAGACCCGCCCCACATGCAAAAAACCACAACGTGCCCCGGAGCCTCCGCCGGCTGGTGGTTAAAGAAGAGCTTCGGAGGATCGAAGGCCTCGTGAAAACCCACGCCGCGCGGGTTTACGGAAAAGGAGCTGTTTGCCTTTTGTTCCATGGCTGGAGGTCTGCTTCCAACTGAATAACCAGACCCTGTTTCACTCGCAATGGACCCAGGAAGTCATGCCAACCAGCAAAGGAGAAAGATGGGTCCCTGCGGGCAGTTGACAGTCTTGAGCATTGCAGTGAAGGCAGAAAGGAATTAAGGCTGAAAAGTTTGGCGATGGAGAGCAAGCACTGCTCCTGAAAACTGCTAGCTTGGCACCTAATTTGAGACGTGCCGCCGAAATGGCCTCTCTGAATTCAGAAGCTCTGCAAACACGCAAACAAATACGCAAACACGCAAATACATACAAGTACCACGGCGGCCAAATCAGCAGGAATGCGCCCCTACCTTCTACCTTTCGTAGGCGGTATCTTCACATGACATGAATTTGAATGGGTCAGGGGATCCTTGGCAAGCCTTGATGCATGCGTCTTTGGCGCTGAGCAGAATGGCGCTCGTTTTGGAACCTGAGGGCAAATGGAACAATTGGGAGACGGGGTCGGGTTTCCCTTCGCTCGGCGAAGGGAGACCTGGAATCCCTCACTGATCCTCAAGCAACTTGGCCTTCAACTTCAATCATTTTTTGCCGCCACCAGTGGCTTCTCGTGGTCTGCCACTCGGTCATACGCTCTGAAGGACTTCTCAACAATGAGGAGGGCCATCCTGACTTCCCCCCCGATCTCCTTCATGTTCTGAGCACTCCTTGCTGCCTGCGCCAGCCTCTCGATCTGCACCCCCTTCTGGCCAAGCTTCGCCAAACGCATGGCCTGCTCAGCGGCCTGGGTGGCAATCTTGGCCTCTTGGTCTAGGCCGAAAGTCGCGACATCGGCCACCAGCCACATGAAGTTCAACATGGAGTGCTCCGTATCTCCCTTTTCAGCAGCCTCCAAGGCATTTGCCAACGGCCCAGCAATCGGCACCATCCCAATCAACTCCCTTGCGAAGGCCAAGACGTAGTCAGTGCACTCCTCCTCCGTCATGTCGTTCACATCCAGCTCGGTGTCACTGGCCGTGCCCGACGCCTCTTTCTGGACTTCCTTCCCTTGGGGCTTTTCGCTGGCCTCCGAGCCCTTGCAACGCCGGCCTCTGCGCTGGCCCGAAACTCGGAGATAGCAACAGCCAGCTGCACATGCTGCCCCGGCCACGCGGCCGCGCTCCGGACCCAACGCGGGACCGGTGTAGCGAACAGGGTACGCCGGCTCCGCGCGCGCAGTGACCACAATTCCTTGTGCGAAGGATGGCAGAAACATGGCCATGACAAGGCTCTGCTACAAATGCTTCACGCGGATTCCCGCATCCCCTTTGCAAGCAATCTTCGTCTTTTTGGGAAAGCGCTACGCTAACACCAAAGCATCTTATTCAAAACTCCTTGGTACATTGCCACCCCTTGCAGGGCCTCAGCCTTTTGAGCGGTGAGCCAAAGCAGATACACAGCTGACCGCTGGCCTAATGGATGAGCCATGAGTTGCAACAACATGTGTGTTTTCCCAACTCGCATCATTGACTCAGCTTCCTTCAAATTGGAGGTTTCGATTGGTGGTTTGGCGGCTTGGGGTGGTTTCCCATTTACTCTGGGTTCAATTCCCCGAACCACCAATCCAACACCGCCAATTAGGGCCTTCTCTGATAAGGATTGTGGATAATCATGGACATCCATGCTCACCAGTACCTTTGACATCGCAAGCCCAAAGAACAAATTCCGCCCCGAATGGATATCAGGCCAAGGCACCTCCAGTCCCTTCACCAGGTAGGTGCCACCGGGCACGACCTGTTGAACATTGCGAAAAAGATGTTCCGAAGAACAAGCCAAAAACAAAAAGCCCCGCCCAGTGAGTGTCTGAGTGTCAGGGGCGCTTGAGGTAACCGAACCCCTTGTGGCGTGTTTATATATATATATATATTGATTTGTCTTATTTGTTTAAGCACGGACCCCTTTGACATTGTGATCTGATTTCTCACGCCTCGTCCAGCGACAGCAGCGGTCTCATCCTCAGGTCGTAGAGGGCCCTGGTGGGCGCGACGACCTCAGAGGGCGGGCTGCATCGATGCAAAGCAGACTTCTATGAGATTCATAGGTTAATTTATAAAAAAAAAAAAAGCAGCCAGCTCTCAATTTTGATAGTTATAGTATGTTGTAGTGCAAAGAGCCGTGCAACAAGGCATGATTGCACCCACGAGGAAGGCAGAGGCAGGGACAAACAGTGACAGCTTGCAAGCTTGCAAGCATTGGGAAGTCGAACCAGCACTTCCCTGACTACAGCACTTCATCGTGCCAAGGTCACAAACCTGCAATCCACCTAAGTGCCATTGCTCAAAGGGCTGCTTGTGATGCCCACTAGGTCCAGAAGCCAACCTTTTCTGGATTGATACACATCCTACGAATTTGTCGCCACGCTCAGTTTCATGTCAGCACAGTGGGAGTCCTCCCATGCCGAGACCGGCGCCGGAGTGCACACCTGACACGCGATTCAAAGAGACAAATGGCAGGAAGGTAGCTGCATCTTGGCTTTGACACGTCTACATTGCTCGTTGTCATATCAATATGCTGTCAGAGCCATATTTTTGCCGCTAGCCCACATACCCTGAAATTTAGCTTGTTTCCCAACAGAACGGTCAGAAGGGTTGGAGAAACTGCGCAGTAAGCCCAAGTTATGAAGAACGCCCACACAATTCGAACAAATCCAAGTTGTTGCTCCTGCACATCTCCGTGTGTCCAGCACTTTCCGTCACGACATCTTCGAGTGCACCTGTTCTTCTCATTGCTCGTAGTCATCTGCTTGGACGCGAATGCCAAAGATGTTGACAATCAAGCCATCCGGAAGCAAAACATGCCAGTGCCCTAAGCAGAAACTTCTGCGACTTGAGACTCTGGGGCCTTGGCCTTCTGCTGTCCATTGAGAATCCCCGATCGAAAAGCTGCTGCCAGGTACCATGTTCCATACCAAGCCGAATTACCATAGATACTGGGCGAGTCTACCGAGATGGGTACGACAAATAGAGCCTGAAAAGCAAGAGAGGTTCAAGGACTGCTGTACCCATGAGCTTTACCGCTTCACCGATAATTAAATTCGAAACTATGCACCAAGACCATACTGGGCATATTGCCTTGAGAAAAAGGGCGGATAAAGTTCAAGGTAAAACATCAGGGGTTCAAATCACATGACATGAAGCTCTCGACAGGAGATTCATCCGTTGCTTGCTTCGAGGCTACCTCCGTTGCCAACCGACTACGGCAAATACAACGGCAGAATGGTCTGCTATACCCAAGAAACCTCTATGGACGAGAGTTTTGCTGGAAATGGCCTTCTGTGTCGGAGTATCCCATAAAACGCGGATACTGGGTCAGGGAACAGGTATTTGTCGGTGATAACATGTACAACGGGTGAACGGACTGTAAGAATCCGACTTGTCCTTTCATGATGACGTAATCTGGATGTGTCTCAAAATAGGGGACTCCCGCAACAGTAGTCGGCTCCCCTTTGGTTGCCCTTTAAAACCAACCCAAAAACACCACCCGCAAAAAAAAACCCACACACACACTCTCACCCACTTTGGGCTTACAAATCCCCTTCCCCGTTCTCATTGGGTCAACATAAAGCGGCCGTGTCCGAAGAGGCCTCACCGGCCAGCTGCAATAGCTCCTGCCCGTGGCTGAATGCTTTGAGAGAAAAGAATGATATCGACCTGAAAAATCGGCACCCTTGTTGTGTTTTTCAGTGGCAGGTTGCTTCAAAGGCCAAAGATGGGTATCAAATTGGGGGTCTGGAAAAGAACACACACACACACACACACATCACACACACACACACACCCACACACCGCTTTGCCTCGGACCGCTTCTCTTCTTGGGCGATCCTTTGAATTGGTCCGCTCACTCTTTGTTATCTTCACATAGTTTTGCCCCTTTAAAAGCCGTTTTAGCCTTGAACTCCCCGACATCTATGTTGTTCTGCATAACATTGTTCAGAAGGAGCTCTGTCGATGTGCCTCCACCTTCAGTGACTTTCAGCCCTTGCAGGAATCCCACATGCCTAGAACCTACACAGTAGACCTTCAGCTACTGCCACGAAGGCTCCAATGGTATTGTCAGAGCCAGTAGTTGTTCCATCTTTGCCATACCCGGGGCCTGCCCGAACAACCACTTTGTCGGAAAATTGTCTTCAGGGTGAAAGAAACAAACCTCAGATTATTGCAGGAACATTCCATTTTCAAGGTCTTGTGGACCCTGCAGCCTTGCCGATGTCTGCGCTGCAAGAACTGCACAAAGATAACCCAGAAGCACCCAGTGCCTTCACACTCGAGCAGAATCCTGTTCTTGTGCGTGCTTGGGCTTGAGCTGCTTCCTTACATTCAAAAATTCATAAGTCCTACATCCACCTGTTTATACATCTGCCCCGACTGAACAATGATGCTTTCTACCTGCCGCAAGGGAACCGAGGAAAGAGAATGGTCAACTGGAAGCTCGGTGTGCCAGAATATTTGGCCCAGCTGGTGTCCTACTGTGGGTGGACGAAATCCTGCACCACTTGGAAACGCAGGGGTTCCATTGTTTATTGGTATTTACAGGAAAATCATCATTCCAGGGTTTCTCTGGTGGAGCAGGATTTCGTCCATCCTTGAAAAGGCCGCCCACAAGGAAACCAAGCAACTTGTAAGGCTCATAGATGGCCTTTTGGCAAAATAGATGGCCCTATGGAATAACATCAATCTAAGCCAGTGCAACCTATCTATTTCAGACCGGACCAACCTAAGTACTCCAACTTCTGCGGGTCGATTCCTCGTTACCCACGAGTTACCACCAACCAACTCGGGCCATGCGCGTCCTTCAGGCCGCGTGCTGGTGGCCAGCGCTTCACGAAGAGGGTCTCAGCCGATTCAGTCGCGCACGCGCGAAGGGCCTGGACCAAAACTACCTCGAAATGGGTGGCTCGTCTTTTTTGGAGCTACGTGTACGCCCTGTGTGGTTTTAGAAAGAAAACAAAAGGAAAACCACCATTGTTAGGGGTCCGCTAACAAAAGGACACCCAAATGAGAATAGCAGCAGGTCTGGTGATTTTGTTTGGTAAAGTCAGGGCTTGTCTGTTAGCTGCAAGCGTTCAGCAATGCAATCGCAAACTAAAAAGCAGGATGGCAGTATCCTGCCCTTTGTTGCGCAGCATGCTCCGTTGACGCTATCACACCTCATTGCGTTTCAGCATCTTTGAGCAGCTTGGTGACTGCTCCGACTTCCATGAGATTTACCTCACACACCCACGGCCAAAGTTGCAAAATCGTCCAGCCTGCCACCACCAAACCGGCATCTCGCGTACTCGCGTTCAGGGGCTTGAAGGCGCATTTGTTCCCTTAAAGCTGCAGCGGTCAGGTTATTGGTGACCATTTTGCTGGACTTCGGTGGAATCAGAGAACCCTGTCTGTGTGTGTGTGTGAGTCCAAAACAACATCGACTTGGTGTCCTGTGCAGTGAGCCTGGGCATTTGGATTCTCAGGAGCTCGCCACGCCGGCGTGCAGCCTCTCCGCGTTCTTGAAGAGCAAGAGCGACATGGTCGAGGGCATCTGGCCATGGGAACCCGGAGTTCCGGGCGAAAAATGCGAAGATTTCTGCAGAACTGCGTCTGCCAAAGGCTCCTCAAAAGCGAAGGCGCTATGCTTCCCAAAGAACTTAAGCCACAACAGGCGTGCTTCAAAAAGCCACATGCTCAATGTTGACAATATTGAGAGAATCTTCGAAACTGTGTGGGGCCGCAGACACCTATATATTTATATACACCCACAATGATGGCTTGTGACAGGAATCTGAGTTCAGGCAACGTCTCAGCTTGACGTCCCAAATGGCCGGACGTGTGCGACAAGCTCCGTCCCTCAAACCCGCAGGAGCCGCGCGCATGGAGCGACCTGGGCACGATCGTTTCGCTTTAAATCGCGGAGAGTGCCCGCCCATTAAGGCTTCAGGTTACCTTCAAAACCATTCCTCAATACGGGAGCTCCATTTGGCAAGGCAAATGCTGATTTCGGCAGCACTTGAGTCATTGATGGCCCTCAAGACGACTCTCTTAGCGATGTTTGGAGTCTTACATTGCACACTGTTATCGAGGCCGAGTGCGAACCCTGTGATAATCGGGTGGAACCGTACATAATTGCAATTGATCCGAATCTGTTGAACACATTGACACATTCGTCCTGGAAATGGCGGTCTTTCTTGTCTGCAATGTTGGAACAAATGCCGAATTACAGCTGGTGGCTGGTGCCTGCCTTGCC